ACAAGGCCACCTCCAGAAATCCATATGGAAGATAACAATGAGATAGCGGGAGATTCCAGCTTCCCGGCCGTGTTCCTCAAATCCATTTCAATGAGATCCTTAAATGCCCTAACACACCCTTTGTCCATAACCTTCTTGATCCCAGAATCTTCCACAATTCGATTTTGAAGCACGAAGTTAAGACATAGGTTCTTTCCTACGAGAGACCGAGTGAGGGGGATCTCCTGATCACTAGTGGCGGGTGGAATTCTGAAATAAAAGAAGTGACAAGCCAACTGCAGTGCGGGCTTACGAACCTACAATGGTGATGTATCTCAGTAAAAACACCGCTTCATTGGCCAGTCCTTTTGTCATTTCTAGGGAAGATCGAAGACTTTATTTTTGCCACAGGGTGGAGAGAGTGATGTGCTCTGATTCTGCCAAACCCACAACGCAATTATGTAATGCTGGACATACGTATTAGTCTCCAGTTGGAAAATTAGGATTAAGTACAGTTGTTGGTTGATTGTATGAAAAACCTTACTCATCTCAATGCAATCTTCAGGATTGGCGCTAGCATTCATTTCGCGTCCTTCAAAAATCATTAACTTTTGCTGGATTCACATATGAAGAACTCGAAAGCACAAAAGTAAAGGTCGGATTGTACAAAAATGTAACCCATCAATTAAGCAACCCACGACAAGGTAAGGGTCGTGATCAATTTGGAGCTATCTAGCATAGAAGAAATAGAGATCACATGTGTTGAAACTACGCAAAGTAGAATGAATTATTGATCGAGATGATTTAGACCAGATAAAGTTCTCATCAATCATCTTGGCTTTAATTTGCGGTGCATAGAAGCTATATAAGAATGTAAATTGATCGAGCATGTCTACCATCTTACCTGCCAGCCAAAGTGTAATGCAATAAAATACCTGCAAAGATGATCAAGAAGCGACAACGCAGCTTCTCTTGATCGGTACTCTTGAGATGGATGATCAATACTTCATGTCATCATATACTCTAACAATATTTCCAAAATATCATGCTACGTATTCAAAAAAAATTGAAAAGTATAGTGAGGCATCTTCCTCTAAACGCTTAATGTGTTGAGGCGTCCATGATTACAAAATGATGTAGTTCCTATCTATTTATCTATATACCGATTTACTTCATGCATTTCCAAAACATTACAAATTACTGTAGGAGAAATCTATGGTACCCTTAAGGTATCATTCATTTGTCCACATAGACCAATCAAAACGTTTTGGTTGAATTATTTAGATATAAATTAAAAATCATATAATAATTTGGACCAAGTGAATGGTAGGTACGGTACCCCATTTTTTACATGGGTACCATAGTTGTTATCCTTACTTAAGCCATATTGATGTCAGCAGTACTAACTATAATGGATAGACGAGATACAAAACTAATGATTGACACTATTAAAGAGCACATAAATGCATCTACTATCTATCTATTTATGGGATCGAAGTATATCAGAAAATTGGTTTTGCATGGGGATAAACTTGCGCACCCAGATTGGTTTTCCACTAATGGAGAGCTTTACTTTATCATTTCTGTTGAGGAAAAAATGGATGATTCCGAAAGTGGTGAAGACGATGACTGCAAAAAGTAGCTAATGATGAGTCGACTTCAATGGTTGCATCACACAACTTCCACAAACTTATGGCCCTGAAACATGTCGTTGAAAAAGGTCTTTAATCTTCACTTCAACCACCGGAGATACTATTGAAAAAGTAGCAAACAATGTTCTTCTGCTTCTTGGCACCTTGCTAAAGCTTAAAGCACAAAGCAGCGGGCGGACATCGATTGAGAAGATGAGATGGAGGTAGTACGAGAATTCAATTATTCGGCCATCGTCTACGTTAAATCTATTTCAATGAGATCCTTGAATGCCCCACGCACCATACATCTACGACCTTCTTGATCCATGAAGCTACTATAGCCTGGTTTTGACACAAGAAGTCAAGAGATAGGTTGTTTGACACGAGATCTTGAGTGAGAGACATCTCTTGATCACTAGTGGCAGTAACATGTTGAAATAAGAGAAGTGATGAGGAAACTGTTGCAACGGGTCTACGGCGGCAATGCATCTCAACAAAAACATAGCTTCATCGGCTAGTCCTTTGATCGTTTCTAGGAGAAAAGACTTTATCTTCCCCACAACACTAGAGAGAGTGATGTGCTCAATCCAAATCCACAACGCAATTGTGAAGGCTGCAACATTAGGATCATGTTGGAGATGGAAAACTAGGATTGAGTAAAGCTGGCGGTTGAATGTGTGAAAAACTTTAATCATCTCAATGCAAACTTGAGGATAGGCGCTAGCGTCCATTTAGCTTCTTGCAAAACCCTTCACATCATTTGGATTCACATAAATATGCTCCAAAAAAACCAGATCAAACTCAAACGTAACCCATGCCATAAATTATACGTATTATATTTTAGCAATCCATTCCAAGCTAAGGGTTGTGATCGATCCATTTGAAGTGAGCTAGTTTAGAAGACAAGAATATAGATCTGACGTGGAAGTACGTGTTTAAGCGATAACTACTTTGTGATATATATATATATATATATATATATATATATATATCAATTGAAATTGGAACGTGCGAGAACAATATTCTTAACAATAGTTGCATTGATGAAATAAAATACATGAACAATAATCGATTGATTAGCTTAAGAATACAATCTAAAGTATGAGAATGAATGTGATAGAGCATGTGCTACAAAAGACCAGTTCTCGTCCATATACTCGACGCAATGACTTTGATTGATACTATTTAGCTACCCTACGATTTCTCCTCTGCTTCCGTCCGATCCGGAAAGGAGTTGGGCATCTCTATCCGTTTGTTGCTTGCAAGTCTATCCATCCTTTAGTTATATGGACTTTTCGCATTGGCTCACCACATCTCTTCATTAAAACCTTGGTCCGAACATTCTTATCTATTTATTTAATCCGGGGCTCAACAATTTCCCTCATTCATAATTATGGTGGTTGAATCGCAAGTAACGAGACCATCATTTTGAATTTGAGCAGTCTTTCTCCTTTGGTTATTGCGCTATTCTGTCCATTATCTTCTTTCCTTACGAACCATTTATATAGAGATATATGAACTTGATCATATTCAGTTTTATATATTTGATATATACGGTATTACACATTGATGATTCAGCATTTCGATTGTCAATGTTTTATTCGTAATTGTGTTCCCTTGAACTTATGTTGTCAATAAGTGAGAGCTTATATGATACTCCCTCCGTCCCGAAAAGGTTGGCCAAATTTTCTTTTTTGGATGTCTCAAAAAGATTGGCCATTTCCATCAAAAGTAAGGAATATGTGGTTAAAGTTAATTCTCTCTCCTCTGCACAAATTTCAACGGCACAGTTTTTACTTTATTAATCCACGTGAAAGTCAACTTTGGCCAAACTTTTCGGGACGGGTGAAGTATGACATAAGGTCCTAGAATAGCCTCGGAACTTGCGCCCCCGTGTGTACCATGGTGCCTGGCGAAGTTTGATTGGTCTGGTGATTTTTCCAAGACTCTTCAAGAAGAAGCATAGATCGGGCTTTTGTGAAGAGGGGGAGCGGGACTGCCTGTTGAATTATTGAGGCCACAGTGTCATATTTTGCCGGCAGGCCTTGCACTAGACGGAGAACAAGGCGCTGGTTATTGACCTTGGAATCAACATTCGCCAGTTGGTCAGCCAAGATTTTCAAAGCCTTGCGGTAAGAAGCAATATTGGAAAATTGATCAAGACGGTGTTTGAGAACTGTTCTTCCAAATGAACGGCTCTGGAGTGTTTGTTGTCTTGAAAAATTTCAGCTAGACTTTCCCATGCCGTTTGAGCGGTGGAGCTGGGCAAGATGGTGGTGTGAAGCAAGTCATGAGAAATAGTGCCGTAAATCCATTGAAGGACAACGGCATCAAGACGATCCCGTAAAGCTTTGGCTTCGGCAGCGGCGGCCTCCTGTTCAGGAGTTTGAGTGGGTGGAGTGGAGGAGGAGGCAGTGGATACGTCGGTAGGGGGATGATATGATCGAGCATTTGGTAAGCACGAGCAGTAATCTTGAATAAGTCTGCCCAAGAGGTGTACTCAACCGTCTCAATATCGAGAGTAATTGAGATAAAAAATTTGATGTGAGTGACGGCCAAAGCAGGGTGGAATTTGCTAGAGAAGGAAGCCATGGCGGGAAAAATGAAAGAAGAGAATAGCTAGGCGTCTAATACCAAATTGGATTATCAACCGTGTGTATATTATTCACTGAATGAGTTTAAATAATACAAGTACAAGAGTCCTGGTTGATATCATTTACATGAGATGAGGAGCTAACCGAATAATACTCATGCCTATCGGATAACTCAAGCTAACCGAACTGCACTCATACGTATTAGATAATTAACTATGCTCTATTCTAATACTACGTATTATCTAACTAATACATAGTAATTAAATAATATATACATAGTGTAATACATAGTCAACCAAGATGCATGCTCCGCATGCATATGTTAATAATCAAAAAAGGGATATTGGTGAAATGCGATAAGATTGATATGTGGACTACATATTTTTAGAAAGTATAACTGATCTCATTACTATGAGTTCATGTAATTCATGATGGTCACATAGATACTTCAGAGAATATTGGCATACTTACCAATATAGGGTAGTGTAATTTGCTACCCAATATTATGTGTCTATGGAATTATCGGCATATAGGGTAGTGTAATAGTCCTCTGACTTGAGGTCAATACGAACTTCATATGTGGAGTGATGTACTTTAATCATGACCAACGCTTGCACTCCAACCGGGTGGAAACGGCATGTATTTGGATCCATCACGAAGCACATGGGGTAGTAGTTGAGCCAAGAAAGGATTCACGCCTCGTAATATATTAACCGAGAACATTTTACTTCTCATATTTAGATGGATAATAAAGGAACAAAAGAGAGAAAAACTATGAAATTTGATAATTTACAAATGAGGGGCGCCGTTTTTTAGGCGTAGGTTTTGTAGTTTTTGTTCCAGCTCAAATGCCGCAAGGTGGAGCGTCGCAGGGGTAGAACAAGAGAGAGATCGTCAATGGAATTACAGGAGAGTCTGTGATTTTGTTGCTGGAATGACCAATTGAGCTTCCGAATGGGAATGGCCGATTTGGCTGTAACCGGCCGTTTTACGGTCATGAGGTGAACCGCCGGATAGATGATGGCTGGAGGAGATGGAATCCTCGCAGAGATATTGGAGCTCCCTCGAGAAGATCGGCAGATGAAGAGCAAAGGAGATTGGATATAGGAAGGCCATGGAATGGACAATCCCGATTTCAGGCAACGAAGGGAACCAGTGAGCTTCAGGCAATGGAGGTCAGACCATTTGTTCAAATTGAAAGTAAAACTTTTGCTTTGACTTGGTAAACTCCGAATTACGCATTAGCCAAAACAAAAACAATCAAAGTTGTTATATTCTTTTGGGTATTGAGGGGTTAATTTGGCTGTGTGACTCTCTTAGTCAAATCCAATCTGAGAATATGTGTACTTTCACGAGATATGAAGGTTCCAGTAAAATTCAACTATTTTATGGGAGAAATCATTTTGGTGGATATATTACTTTGGTTGATATGGGCATTAAAGGAAGAAATACTTTAGTCATTCCTGAAGGACGGAATGGAAAAGGGATTTCTCTTTTTCTAACGGGGATTAAAAGAGCAACCGCTTCATTAAAGGAATTTGTTACCAAGCAACCAACATTTGGGCATGATTCAGGGGAGGTGTCGGATTCACATATCCTTGAGTTTGATTTTCTGTTAAATGGGGATAATATTCACTCTGGAGAGTATGATTTTTCCATTTCGAGCGCTTTATTTCAAGTCGATATAGAGCATATAACTTCTTTGGAGAGGGTGGTCGTAGGGGCTGATGTGGAAGTCTTTGAGGAGGCGATCATTGAAAATGTTCGCGATGAGGAGGTAGTTATTGATATTATTCCTCGCCAGGTCTCTTTCCCATATCAGAATAAGATATTTATTTTTTTTGAGGGTGTTTCTCAAGCTAAAGATATTGATAATATACTTGAAACTACTCCTTTTCGAGTTTCTTATTCACCTCACTCCGAACTATTAGTGGATGGATTAGTTTCTCCTCAGACAGTAGTTTTGGAACCTAATGCTTCGGGTGGTAACAATCTTGAAGTTACGCCTGTTCAAATGACACTTTCTGATCGTGAGCTACTTGACCGCGTTGCTGATGCTGAATGGGACTCAGCCTGTTCTAGATTGCTACCTCGACGCAGTGCCCGTCTCAAGGCTAAAAAAATTGGCTGAAACATAGGGTCATTTCTGCTTACAGGATTAGCTTTTGGATATTTTGGGGACTTCATCTCTTTTGGGTAACTCAGTACATCTCAACGAGGAGCTAAGCGTTTTACTTTGGGGATTTGCAGGGCCTTTTTGGATTATTCACTCATTTGCGTTCTTGTTTCTTTTTTCATCTTTATGTACTCTTCTTATTTACTTTTAATAAAATTCTGCTTATTCAAAAAAAAACTCTTTCCCTTTCATTCTAAAAAGAAAACAAAAAAAAGATAATAAAGTCATTGACCAATGCAAAGATATATTCATTTTGGATGTATATCATTTTGGATATCAAATATCATTCCCTTGATCTACTTTTAGCTTTTGCCTTAGAATCACTTAAATTAAGCAAAAGCATTACTTGAAGCTGGGGTTTTGCAGGATCTGGGAATAGAGTTTTCTGCCAGACTGGCAATAACCAGAACATGTATGTTGGGTGTTACGTGTAGTAAAGAACATGATGTTAGCTAGTGCGATGAATGCTTAATAGAGATTTTATTCCGACGGGTAATATGTAGTGAAGAACTTGACATGGCATGGCTAGTGTAATGACTGTGATGAATGCTTAGTACTGTTTTTTAATCATGTCAAATTCAAATGAACCTATTTTGTGATTTTGGCAATTATTACATGGTTCTTGTTAATGTGGTACGGTGTTTCAGTGTTTGCTTTTAAAATGATACTGATATTGTAAAAAAACGTATTAGACTCTTATTTGATATTTTTGTTGTAGCAAAAAATTGTAAAGTTATCTTAAAATGATTAAAAAAAGTGTTTACCGCATTATTTTTGTTTCTATTGATTGTTTTAAGTTCATGTAGCTACCGTATATTTGTACGGATAATTTTATAGTATACAAAGTACTCCGTATATTTTAAAATTCTTCTAATGTTAGATTGTTGATTTTATTACTACCTCCGTCCCACTAACAATGGGACAAGAGGGAGTGACACGCAAATTAATAAAAAGGGTTTTATGTGGTTGATAAAATAAGAATGATTTAGAGTCACACAAACTTTACTAAATTTGGTATGGAACAATCTTAGTGGGACGGACCGAAAAGGTAAAATGGGACAATCTTAGCGGGACGGAGGGGTATATATTATTCAATTCTATATCCTTAGAAACGTTTTTCCCTTGCAGTGATTTTTTTTAATATTTTTCCTTTTATTTCGAAATATTTAAGCTTGATCTGTTCCCAAAAGAACGAAGTTGCATTCAAGGTTGTTAAAATCGTATTTTTGAATCGAATCGGTAGATGTTTTTGAAAATCAAATCGTAAAATCGAATTGCAAATCGTAAGATTTTATCAAACATATTTTAATAATTATAAAATAAATAAATATTAAAATTAAGTTACAAGTTAATGGTATTATATCATTTCATTACATAAAACTATACCTATAAGTTCAAAAATAAGATTTATAAACTGTTTTTATAATGTAAATGTAGTGGATAATAACATTAAACATATGTAAAACATTAAAAACAATTAAGTAACACAAGAATCCATTACTTTTCAAAATACATTATTCATATTATTATTATTGGAATTATGTATCAATTTGTAGTTGTTAATTTTAATAAATTTGAACCATTTTCACTAAAAACAACTTATTGCGATTTTGCTACGATTTTGCTATGATTTTATACGATTCTACACGATTTTCGTATGATTTTTTTACGATTTTACGATTTAAATCGAGATTTAAACAACCTTGGTTGCATTAGTATACTCTGTATTTCCTTTTAGGGAAATTATCATTGACTTTCCTTGAAGTTTCATGCACTGTCACCCATATACCCTTACACTATTAAAAATACACTCTTACCCCCTGTTTACTTATAATAGTTATAAAGGTATTAAACAGGGTGGTATATTTATAATAATTATAATTATACTTATAATTTTAGATATATTCAAATCAGATCAGATCAGATAAGAAAGATTCAGATCAGATCAGAAAGATTCAGATCAGATCGGACCGGATCAGAAAGATTCAGATCAGATCAAAAAGATTCAGATCAGATCAGATCAGAAAGATTCAGATCAGATCAGATCAAAACTTAAAAAATTCAGATCGAAAATATTCAGATCGGGTGAGGAGAACAATTTCTCACTCTTATCTGTACGCTGTACATGGAACAAAAATGAGCCACTTCAAAACTAAGCTTTTTCAACAAAACTTATTAATAACATGATCCATATTTCAGAGAACCTTCTCAGATTGGAGGCAATCATTTTTTCAATTGTGTCCTTTGCGTAGAAGGAACAGTGAATCTATTGATCATATCTTTTAAGGATAAAAAAAACAAGTGAGACTGATTAAGTGGATGAGGCCGAATAATCTACTTAAACTGAATGTCGATGCTTCATTTATACCTGAGAGATCTTCGGGTGGCGCGTTGATGTGGAATAGAGAAGGGGATCTCATACATGGTCTGAGCTTCCTCCTCCATCCAGATTCAGCCCTAGAAGCAGAAAAACAAGATGTTTCTCTTGCGCGCTTTACGGTGGGCGATTGATCAGAGATTTTGAGATTTTGAGATGGAATCGGATCTAGGCTGATTTCTCTTCGTCGAGACCCTCTATATAAAGGAAGATCGAAAGACCATCTGTAAGTTATGTGGACAGATGGAACTCATGCACGAATTGTTGTGAGATACATCTATCGTGAAGCCATTGGACCGCTCATTTCTTTGCTCAGGACATTTATTCATTTATAGATAAAAAATATGATTTCCTATTACAATATCAAAAGGTTCCGCACATTATTAAAAAATCTCTTATTACTGATTCGATGGGCTTGCCTTATTTACGTTGCTTTTCTAGCTAATTTCCATTCATTTTTTACGCTTTTTTCATTTGGGTTAGGTCTAGCCCCCTCAAAAAAATTCATTATACTTTTTCTCTTTAATTTTATGTCATGTATATTGTGAAGGAGTGTCTTTCACTCAAAAGGTTTTGATTTGATCCCCCTCTTCTCTTGTACTTTTTATTAATTTATTAAAATCTAGTAGCTGTTCCCCAGGATTTACCTCATCGATGGGTGGTTTGCATTCCGGATTAAAAAAATTACAAGAATTAGGTGTGAAGTTATTTCATTTGGATTTGTTGTATCACTATACCAAATTAAAACTGCTCAATTAAAAAATATAACTGCTCAATTAAATAAACTTTCATTTCTTTGTAGGTTGAAGTGGGATCGAAGAAAATGGTAGATTTGTTTATACATAATCTTATTGGGATTATATGTTGACATATTTTGAAACTTTATACTGGTTTTATCTAGGGGGAGATTACCTCAAAGGATTTCACTATTGAGCGGATTAAATCCTAGACACAAACATGGCTTTCCAATTTCTCAAAGATGAAGTGTAACACCCCCAAATTTTACCCAAAAAGTTGATACCAAAACAACAAGTATAAATATAGTTTTCCCGAAATATTTAAGTTTAAAAGAGTTTAAATTTTAACGGAAATAAAATACTATAGAGGTGTTATCGCCACATTCGATTCTTACACGATTGAATGCACAGGCTAAACTGTTGGTCCCAAAATAAGGATGTATTGAACAGCAAAATACGATCTATGACAATATAGGTAAGGTCTAGATAATGATATGATCAATCTAAGAGCAATAGAGCCTTACGCTATACTATCGAGAAGTATGAAAACCTTTTAGAGAATAAAATAGTACTGTATTGCTGATTATTCTCGGTCCTGTACCACAAGTACGCATATTTATAGGCGCAGGTACAGGTACCGAGAATGGTAACCTAGAATTCTGGGCCTAGGCCTTTTTGGGCCTTAAACCCTTAGTTGGATTTATTACATCATAAATACATTAAAACGTTAATCTATTCTAGATAAATAAACAAGACATCAGACAAGCTTGATCACAATTAATATTTTTCCTCAACAATCTCCCCCTTTGTGATCAAGTGCCGTCTTGCTTCTTCTTCTCTTCACTTTTGAGCTTTATAATAATTCTTTCTGAGATTAAGTGCGTGCTCATAGTTTCTGAGTGAATTTCTTCTATCAAGTTGCTTTTCGATGGCCTGTAGGATGTTGTCAATTCTGTGCAGTTCCTTCTGGTCTCCTTCAGTGGCTTCAGTCGATTTCTGTCCAAGTTCTTGTTTCTTTGATCGGAGCTGCTCCTGGATGATCTTCAACGTTCCGTCACAATACTTGTTAATTTCATCCACGAACATTAGACGCTTTTCGTTGTTATGATTCAGATAGATGACTGATACTGGATTGTCAAAGATATGATATGCTTCAAAGGATTCAAGGCCAGGTCTACTCAAGTCCGGTCTAGTAAGATTCACCTTTGAATAGTTGTGCTCTATGGTCATCTGGAGGTCATGAGAGGCGTAGAACCGAACTTGTCTTGTCATGAATCTTTTTATCGCCTCGAAGCCTTCTTTAGCGAGTCTGTCTTTGTGAACTGGAAGCTCCCTGCACCTCATGAACATTTGATAAATGTCATCCATGTGCAGTAGAAAGAAGTCATTCTCTTGACAGGTGAACTCCGAGCCATCAGTACGTTGTAGACGAAAAATCATGAACTTAATTGTCTCTAGGTAATCTTCTGTGATTTCCAAGATTTTCAATATGGGACATCCACTTGTTGCAAGATTGTGATTTAGAACTTGTCGACGTTGCCCTGTGGATCTATGTCCTAGCATATACAGATTTCCTCCTCTGTATTTTCCTTTCAAGTGATTGATTCCTCGCATTTTTAATTCATTGAACTGCTTGACCTTTTCTGGTTGTCTCCAAATCTTCTCTCGAATTTCTTCAAGAAAGGGGGCTTTGATCCTTATGATTTCCCATTTTTCTTTAGCTGGTTCTGGTTCCTTGGGGTTTTCTTTTTGATTCTCCCCTTCCTTGAGTTCGTCTTTATCGAGTCCGATCATCATTGCATGGTATTTATTGAGGAACTCTCTGAGATGCCAGCTTCGACACATTTCGTATTGATCGGCTTCCACTCTAAGGTCATCCCACTCTGTCCATTTGTGGGGCCATTGATCATGAACTAGAAGATCTTCAAGCTCATCTTGTATTGGATTGTCAGAGGGTTCAGAGGGAGCTTGCTGCTGTGTCGAAGGTGACATTTCTGGCGTAGCATCGGGATCCTGGTGAGACTTGCAGGGATCCTCAATTATCTCAACACGATGCTCTTGCGCAGAGACCAGACCTCTATACTTCGTTACATGCGGCCAATCCTCCCTTGGCTGAGAAAGTGAAACACCGGGATCCTCAGGATTGCCCGTTGACATCAGTTTCGAACTAGGTTCTAACTGATGGCCTGAGTAGGAAGATGTACTCGTGGTAGCATCATCAGGACTTCCATTCCGTCCTTGGTTAACATCTATAGGAGATGCACCTCGGGATGTTATGTCTAGCTCGACCATGCTAGAAAGAGTGGCTAGGGATTTATGGCTAGCTGAAGTAGTGGGTTGCTCATTGGTAGAGGTGGAGGGTTGGTTTGGCTTTGAGGGTTGGCTAGTAGAAGCAACATGCTCAAGTA